GTTTTTCTCCTCACTCTTACGTTCAAATACTAATGCGTGAAAGATCGATGAGACAGTGTTTCTATGGGTTCACAGACAATATACAAGAATATAATTGGCCCCACCCATAAGATCCATGCATACAGGCCTTCCCCAAACATTTCGTACATTTTTAAAATGCCTTCTGCTTCGCTCTTTTGTCGAGTTCATTCGAAAAGACTCAGAATCTTCTCCCGCTTCAGTAAATAAAGAATAATGGAGTAAGGTCGAAAACGTATTATGTGACTCGAGGGTTTTATTCTACTTTTTCCTTTTCATTTTTGAAATACTTTTTCATCGTTTTTCCACCCTTATTCAAGGATTGAGTCTGAAACGTACCGTAAATTTACTCATTGTCCCTTTCAAACGATACCGACTGATTTTGTACCCTATTGTCGCGTGTTTCGGGGTTCTGCTATATATAAGTTATATATATACTTAATATATACTATGTATATACTATGTATATACTTATATATATATAAGTACTACGAGTATATAAGTATACTTCATCGTATATATTTATATGAGACCAATGCTATCAATAAACAAAAATGTACATACTTCTTACCTCTGAATGCACATAAATCTTTCGTTCGTGTTTCTTCGTTCGAAATATATTCGAAAAGGAAACACGTGCCTTTCTTGACAATTCTGCGTAAATATTGTGTTGATGTTGAAATTGTCAAAAAGCGTACATTATATATATATGACATAGAATGAATAAATGTACGCTTTTTGACTATTTCAACACCAACAATATTTATGCAGAATTGTCAAGAAAGGCACATGTTTCCTTTTCGAATATATTTCGAACGAAGAAACACGAACGAAATATTCATGTGCATTCAGAGGTAAGAAGTATGTACATTTTTGTCTATTGATAGCAGTGGTTTAATGTAATAAAATATTTAGACTGATTGATACATGTACGATAATTCCCTATACCGTGAACTCACAAAAGGTGAAGATTAAGGGATCTTCAGCCACGTCCCAAGGGTTCTAGGTATAGAATACAGCTGGCAAGGTGAGGAGAGATTTACGGTGGCTTTATACTCCCTATTGAAACGAGCCACTCATCAAGTCAAATGAAATGTCCAGCCAAATGAAAAAAAAAGTACGCTTTCTGACAATTTTAACATTAACAAAATATTTACGCTGAATTATCAATGAATCATCTGATCATATTATTTACATTTCTTCTGTTGCTATTCCATCAATTGATTTTCATGTTGGAATAAATAATTAGATGGTTTAACAGATATGTAATCGAATGAGAATCAGATAAATATGTACGGCAGCACGCAACATACGTTCGAATCTACAGCGTATCGCGCGTGTTTAATTGAGTTGCGCGCACCAAAAAGGGGCGGGTCTCGGAGCCTCATGTTATTGTTAATCGTAATGTGAGGTTAAAAAATTTCAGCATTTTTTTTCGTGAAAATTATTTATTTTCGAACATTATTTTTTAGTGTCATTTTGTAAAGAAATTCTTTCTCTTCAAGTTGATTTTTTTTCCTCGTCTATTGAATGAATTAAAGTTATACGGTTAATGTTCTTGGCGTTACGCCATAAAAAGTCGATAGTTTTTAATTAATTTCAATGTCAGCCGAATAAAATCATGTTCTAACATTTTGATGTTGTCCAGGACATTTTTACGGATCGATTGGAATGTTTTCATCAACCGACGTTTTTTCGTGACCACACCATACTTCCATCAGCCAGATTGACTAAACTAGCGAAGGTACCTTTCACCTGAGTTAGTACACTTCATGTCACTGTCGATCTCCGGCGAGTTGTTGGGGGATTATCTTAACCGAAACCGTAACGAAATCGAAAGTAACCCGTGGCAACCCATGTCGACGAGTAGGTTAGTTTCCTCTACATGGCCTTCCAACCGCACTAGTGATTCCAATAACTCCACGAAACGCGTAAGCCGGGGAACGTGAGCATTTCAGCCCAATCCCGACGGTCAGCAACGTGCACTCAACGGGATCAACGAGATCTCACCGGGAGGCTCAGTATCTCGGCCACGAACTCCAGTAGATAATCGTCCCTCTCAGGATTTGCGAGGATAAAAATTAAACAAATAAAACCAGTAAATACGAATGACCGTAAATTTACTCTAAACCGTAACCGCAGCCATAACCTTAGTTTCCCCTAAATCCAATAATAACTGAACGTTAACTGCAAATTTAAACAAATAACTAAATTATTTTTACTTGAAATGAAATGTTTCTAATTTTATACGTTTTTAACGTGGATCGACGCTCTTAATCATTTCTTCTGTATTTTTATTTAAGTTGAACTTTGATGCTTCCGCGGAGCCTATGTTGTAATGTCCATGAAAGACGTAGTCCAAGAGCCAGAGCTAGAGGAAATAAGGGTATTGCATCTCCCTACGGTAGGGGTGCTAATTTTGGGAAGACAAATCACGACTCTCTCTCTCTCTCTCTGTTACTATTACTATCACTTACTTTTTACTCTTCTGAGAGCTAGATGACGCTGCAGACGCTGACGTTAACTGAAAGTCATTGGGACGTTTAAGGAAATGCCCAGAGTTTGATCGGTTCGTCAACTTGAGTGGCACCCGAAGATTTTTTTTTAATTACGTCCCAAAGCAAACTCCGTTCGAGTAATGACCTTCGATTCTCCTGTAGAGGTGGATAAATTCCAAGATCTTGACAAAATCACAAATGTCTTGACCTCTTCAACTTTCCCGGAGAACGCGAAGTCAAACATTAATTGAACGGGAATTGTTGCTTCAAGGGCACTCTATACTTATTGCTTTAGACCAGGAAAAATGGATGTTTATTTAAAAGTGATCCATGATGAATTTGAGTTTTCATCTTCTCTGCATCACAGAACTTTTGGAGGAAGATGAGGTTGTCCAGTTTCTCTTCCAAGAACAGTCTGAGAGCAGTCACCACCAATGCCACTACGCGAAACCTGCGTGATTTTGAGATGGACTCCAAATTTTTGTGGAGATGAAAAGATTCTCTACATTCACAGTTGGTAGATATTGTGCCATAAATCTTTTCAACTCGTATCTCTGCAAATTTGAGACCAGCCAGAAAAGAGACGTGTGCAGTACGACGCTTCGATGGGTCTGCGCTCAGTACCTCCGGCATCTCTGTATGATGTGTTTGAAATAGTCATTGCAGGTTTGGAGCCTCGGTTAATGCATCAAGCGCAGATAGAACTATTGAAATAGTAAATGGAGACTTGGAGCCTTGGGTGAATGCGTTAGGCGCAGCTGTGTTAGGCACACCAGGATTTGAGCTGTTGTTCACACTGTCCTGGAAGTCAGGTATGGAAAAAACCATCTGACATTTTGTAAGTCTCATTTCTAATTTCCTTGTACTCAATTTCATGCCTAGGACCAGAGGAACAACGTTAAATGAAGTTAGGCTGTGAGTCGTTCCCCAAGGGATAAGCTATATCTAGATAAACCTTGAACGTCAATTGATTTTGTCTCTAGGATCGAACCCGAATGTCCAAAAAAGCTGAGACACATGAAAAATAACTTACCTTTATGTTCCTTCGAACATTCATTCAGGGAAAAGTTGATAAACATACCTACATAATTTTTGGAATATTCTTAAGAATTTGATATTTGATACATTTTATCTGTTTTCTCGTTTTGCACTTATCCATAGTTATGTTAAAAGTATATGACATAAAGAGAAAAATGAAAATATCTGTGGAATGAATTTATGTTGATAAAGATGAATACATATATCACGATTACTCGCCACTTAGATCTCCATAGTTTGCACAGTCCATTTCATCATAACGACCAGTCATACTAATATAAATCATTGTTCACAATTACATTGATATATGAGATGTCGCTCAAGTCAAAATATCTCCTTTGAAAACTCTAATCATCTATAAATCGAGTCGTTGCACAGGTTTGCGAATTCTAATTGCTCTTCGAAGCTCAGAAGCTGAGGTTGATACTCGAATGGAAGAATTAACAGCTGTTGAACCCCCATGTTCACTCAGTATCGATGTAGAAGCATTGGAGGATCTTGAGATGGCTGAAGATGATGGAATCTGTTAATTAACTACAAACTGACTCGGTGTTGAGTTAAGCAATTCAACAGCAGTTTCCGTGTTGACATTACACTGGGCATCCGTCGATGTAGAATTTTGTGTTAAACCCTCAATAGTTCCTGAAGGAATAAGAACTCCATCCACTGGACTAGTAACACTTGAAGGCGACTCCTCAGTGTCCACGTCTAGTAAACATGCTCGCAATTGGTGAGCATGCTTCTTACGGGTACGAGCATCCATCAGCTGTATTGTATAGTTGACTGGAGAACTCTTTTCAATGATTTTAGCAGGAAACGACTTATTCTTCATGTAGTCCTTGACAACAACTGTTTCACCAACATAAAAAGTTCATATTCTAGACCCTGGAGCATAGAATCTCTGTCTGGGTCGTTGTTGATTGACGTGAGTTCTCAAATTTGGTCTGAGCAAATCCAATCGAGTACGAAGAGGTTTCCCCATTTGTAATTCAGGACCCACTGGTGAAATTGAGTGACGCTATTGAGGAAAAGAAGCCTTTTACTGGTAGTAATACTGCAGGACAACGTGCGGCCATACATAGCGAAAGAAACCCTGAAAGTTATCTCCACGTTAGGCTGGGAAATTCTCCTACATGCGACGTATTCTCCAGACCTTGCGCCTTTTGACTATCACCTTTTTTGGGCGCTACAACATCACCTGGTGGATACCCAGTTCCATTCTCCTGAAGAAGTTCAGCAGAGCATTGATGACTTCATCCGGTCAAAATCACCATCTTTTTTCCGAGCCGGAATCCGACAATTGCCCGATAGATGGGAGAAATATATGGAAAGTGATGGCAATTATTTTCAAGATTAGATCTGTATTCATTTTTTATGAATAAACGTCAGAATGGTCGAAAAAAAGCCGAGAATTAAGTCATATACCTAATATTACTGAGGCGCTCACTATGCACCATTGTAAACATTACAATGTTCCATGGTAGCCATTACCATGTCCAAAGTTATACTTAGAAAACTTTGGTAACGTTCACTATGTGCGGATTCCGACATAGTAATCTTTACTATTTTATTTTCTCCGTGTAATTTTTGACTATGTGGGGTGACGTAATTTCAAGAGATTCACGGAAACCCTCTTTCCACTACGCAACCCTTCGACGCACAACTCACCCTGGAATAATCTTATGTTGACCGCTAAGTCTTTATTTCTCAGAGCGACCACTGGAAACAGAAACGTAGACTGAGGTTGACTAGGTAGAAAAAATAAAAGAAAAAACAGAGTCACTGTCAGGGAGCTTTACATTCAATTTGAAATTCTTTTGGAAAAGTGATACAAAAATGAATAACTCAATCTTGAGCTTCCTTTCGACTATGACATCGTTTAACGATAATCTAGACAACAGTATTTACACGTTTCCCATTTCGTTTATAGTTAATAAATTCTGATACCACAAAAGAAAAAAAAACTAAACTAACTCACATCAAGTCAAAACTCACTAAAGTCTAACAATTAAATCGAACATTCAACTGTCATAACGTCGAAAATATGAAGTCGAAGAAATTAAATATTCACAATTAAAGAAAAAATATCAGAGATATTCATATGAATCATAACAAAATAGAGAACGATTAAAACCGAATCATCTACGTGATAAATAACGCTGGCGAACGAACGCAATCAAAACATTCCTGATCTAACACAAGTCAGCGAAACGGACCAAGGTCAAGAGACTTCAAAATTCGCTCATTCAATGGCCTTCGCACGTAACTGATAGCAAGAGTAATAACTCTCTATTACACGCAACACGAAGCCGTTACCATAAATTCCAAAATTCACAAGTAAATTATATTTGAAATTTCCAAATTACTTCTCTAAGACACTCAACACAATTCAATAGCGCGAAACACGATATCTATGATTCAACACACGCGATATATGCAATCAAGAGACGAACGAGAGGAACGTAAAAAAAAATTTATATTTTTTCCGTGAATAGCCTCATTGATTGTAAGTAACAAGAAGTGCGAAAAATTCTTGAGTCTAGTCTCAGTATCATGAGCAGCTTTAACTGGATTCTTATATATGATAAAGTGATTAATTCTTTTCCTTGCGGCAGGTCGAGGAGCTGAATACAATTGTTGGCAATGCTTTTCGTATGGCGTATGTGGTGCAACTCCAACATCAGCCTATCGTCCGCGGTGTAGCCACCTCGAACAAGCCTAAAGAAAAACAAAAGAACGTTTGGGTAAGTAAAAAACAAGAAGAACTTTTAGAGTCGGTCGATTTATGGTGCCGTTTTTATTGGAATGAAGCTTTTTACAGATAGAATTTCCGTTATTGATGGTACGAGATTGAGAATTATGTACCAAGAATACTCATATTTTCATTGAACGGTTTCATGAGATAATCTCTTTGTATACACTGAGTGAGAATAGTATATTACGCAACAAGTGCGTAATGGGTTTTTTGGCTCGTGGGAAGTTGTAAAACGAGCCGAAGGCGAGTTCCGAGGCGAATTGTTGAGGCCTCTCTTCGCTCGGTAGAATCGCGGATTCTGGGCACCTATGACATAAAAAAATATACTTCTACCAATTAAATTTGTTTTGGACAAACAAATGTCCATAATTTCCATACAAAATATCACCATAACTTCTTGTCTGAAACAAATTTGTTTGGCAAAATTATATTCTGTTCTCATTGTAAATACAACCACTACTACTAGCTGTCCCGTTTCGTGAGAACGTTAATTATAAAATTAGCCGAATGCCTACTAACGACGTCATTAAACGTTCATCTATCCAAAACAGATCCCGGCGGCGCAAAATCAAACGGGTCAAAATTGGGCTATAGTACTGAGAGCCGAGCTACCGAGTCTTGGGTGCCGATCCTCAATTGGCCTTGGCCCAACATCGGCTAGCTATTGGTTCGATGACGTTTAGCCGATATTTATTGTCATGCGTCGGCCGATGATCGGCACACGTGACCCACACGATATTTATTAAGTGTATGACTTAATTCTCGGCGCCTAGATTAAGTTGATCAGAACACCTATTTGAATTAACCGATTTTCCCACAATAAAGGGCATTTTAAACCGCTATCTATGAGCTATCAAACCACTCAAGTCCGATTGTGGCCTGATCAAAACAACCTCAAAAAATACAGTAAATAAAAATGTCGGTCGACAAACAGCACTTGAGGCACTCCCTTCTTTTCACCTTCCAAGGTGGAAGAACTGCCGCAGAAATAAAAGAAATGATTTGTTCGACCTTGGGAAAGAATGCTGTATCTTATACCACATGTAAAAAGTGGTTTAAAAAATTTTGGGATGAAAATTTCAACTTTTGGGATGAAGAACGTCCTGGGCAACCAAAAAAAATTCCGGACGAGGAGTTGGACAACCTACTCAATGAAAATCCCTGTCAAACACAACAGGAGCTTGCTGATACTCTCAGAGTGACTCCATCAGCTATTTCGAGGCCTTTAAAAAGAATTGGGAGGATACAGAAAAGGAAGGTCGTTGGGTGCTCCATCCTCTTACCTCAGAAAACAAAAGTCGACGCGAAATTGCTGTGCCTACTGACCAGATTCAAACAAAAAGACTACATAAAATTGTCACTGGGGATGAAAAGTGGATATTTTACGATCATCCTAAGAGGCGAAAGTCGTGGGTTTATCCGGAGGAACCGTTAACGAGTACTGCAAAACCGAACATTTGCGGCAAAAACTTGTTGTTGGGTATTTGGTGGGATTCCAAAGGTATAATCTATTATGCGATACTCGAAAAGAGGGAAACCGTCACTGCTAAGCGCTATCAGGATCAACTGGTGAAATTGAGTGAAGCTCAATGGTTATCAGAATGAAATGAATCATGGCTGTAAAAAATTGTATTGATACTCTCTTGATTCTATCAGAATATGATGCGGATCGCATGTATCACTGTTGAGCTACAGCATATAGCTTGTAATATTTTTTAACAATTTTTTTCATAATAAACTGCAAAAATCAACAGTCATATCAATGAAATCATGGCTCAAAAAGATTCTTTTCATGCTTTGTTGATGAAGTGCAAAGATGATGAAAACAGCGTAACTATTTATTAAGTTGCATAATAGCAATATAAAGCTTCAAGTAATATGAGGGTCATATGGGCTCATATATGATTATATGAAGTGATATGGGTTCATATGAGGTTCATATAGGGGCTGTATGATGTAACATTGGAGTAATATGCCATTATATGGGGCTCACACGGGTTCATATCAGGGTCACATCGGCTCATGTACTCATATGGGGTTATATGAAGGTCATATGGGGTCATAGGGAGTCATATATAGGCGTTAAATGGAAGTCATATGGAGTCATATGGTGTTACGGGGTCAGGCAAGGATCGCATCAGCTCATACAAGTCATATGAAGGTCATACAGGATTATATGGAGTGATATACAGTTATGTGGGCTTATATAGGGTCATGTGGGGCCACATAGATGTCACATGGAGCTAAATGGGGGGTAAAATTGATGGAACTGTCAATAATATTATGAACAACACGATTGGATGAATAAACAACTTTACTCACTCCAAATTGGATCACGATTCGATATTCAATTGAATATCACGAAATGAGAAGAGTCATTTCAACTTGAATAGTCTTGGGCTTAAAAAATGGTAAATACAAAAAAACCGGAAGATTGGCCATAAATTTAGATGATACTTCAATCCAAAATGATACTAAAACAACAAAAATCAGGGAAAAAATGGTCACATTGGTCATGCATACATACACACCTACATACATCCGCCCATACAAACCAATCTTTAAAAACAACGGTCGACCCTTTTGAGTGAGTCATAGAGCGTCGAGAGAACATGAAATTTTCGCATTCAATTTTCGGGGTCATTACAATAATGTCCTCGGGAAATTGAAAAAAGTAGAGGAGTAATAAAAACCAAGTGGGCAATTGCTTTCAATTGTGTCAATTATGGTGCCTGTTTTTGCTAATGAATTAGCAATATGCTTCTGAATGAATTGCCATTGCCTTTGCTATTAACTGATGATATACGTCCCCGTAAGACCCTCATTACCCTTATCATCCTTATCACCCTTATAACCTCCATAATACTCTCATAATACTTTCATAAGACCCTCATATTCAGGCGTCGCTGAAAGATCAGGGGACGCTACGCATAGCAACCCCCCCTAGCAACCACCCATAGCAATTCCCTATCAACCCACCCTTGCAACCCTCTTAGCAACCCCCTAGCAACCTCCCCTAGCAATCTCTCCTGGCAACCTCCCCTAGCAACCTTCCCTAGTAACCCCCCCTATAAATCCTCCCTAGCAACCCCCCTTGTATGACCCTTATAAACCCCCATAAGGGCCTCATATGACCCTCATAAGACCCCCATCTGGCCCCATAAATCTCCGTAAATCCCCCTTAAAACACTCATAAGACTCCCATAAGATCCTCATAAGACCGCCATAAACCCCCATAAAACTCCCATAAGACCTCCATAAGACTCCCAATAAGGGCCTACCTTACGCCAACATTGCACCAACATTACACCGATCTTGTGCCAACATTGGGCCAATATTGCGCCAACCTTGGACCAACCTTGGGCCAAATTTTGAGAATAATTCAAAAACTAAAAGCGCTATCGACACCATCTTCGAACTCGGTCTGCATAACATAAAACCGCATATTTATAGCCCAGATTCGATTGATTGAAGTGATTTTTTTTCAAGTTATCGTGAAAAAACTGAATCGGTCACATACACACATACACATGCACATACATACATAGGGACAGGGTTTAAAAATATCAGATTCGGACTCCTGATCCCCAAATTAGTTATCTTCACGAAGAAAACTGGAAACTTAAATTCGGAGGAATACAATGCTTCCATACGGAAGCAATAAGAGTGATAAATTTCAAAAATAGAGAATCCATTTGGAAGCATATTGCTAATTTGTTAGCAACATAAAATATACCCATATATAGAAAATGCGAATATATACTTGTTTTTTCATCATGTATCGTAATTACAATTTAAAAAAAAATATTTGCAGAAAACAAAAGTCTTAATTCAAAGTTTCTTGATGAGTTAATCAAAAGATTTCAATAATAGAGAAGAATGTTCCATTATGCTGGTGGGCATTCCCATTTTCGTTGCGTCGGGTACTAAAATTTAGTTGAACAAACGCACATAGAATTTGCATCGGTACATAAACTTCTATTTTTGGTTCAAGAAACACTTCTCAAACGTCGTTGTTTTCTGAGTGTGGATCATCATTTTACGAATAATAATTTATAATTGCAGAATAAGTCTGGGGCAGTTGAGATTGTAAACAGAAACGACACGAATAGTGGTGGAGGGGCGAATTTCTGGCTAAAAAGTCGGACAGCACTAGCGTCGCGTACTGGAAGCGGGGCATCTGAAGCGGACATGAACGTACAACTCGGTACCGGCGGATCGCCCACGCTGCGACTCGCAACAGTCAAGGTATTTCAGGGGAATTCAACCGCATGAAAAGAATTTATTGGCATTAATCATTCTGTGATGCATGATGGAAAGGCGGGAGAAAAAAAATAATATTTGCCAAATATTTTTACACCATGAATGAATGAGAAATTTGTTATAAGTTTTTCATTTTCAAATTTCTTCGATGTAAAGATAGGATTTATTTCTAACACTTAATTGATTTCGTAGGTGAATTATAAATGTCTAAAATAAAGATGAATCATTTCAAATAAAATATATACATAAAATATGCACATGCACATATTCCAGATAAGGAAGAAAATGTAGAAAATCAATAAATATATCTGCGAATTCGTCAATTCTGTAGATGAAATATTCCCTTCAAATTCCTAAAATTTTCCTGTGCTCGTGTGGACAATATACATATACTCAACATCCTTTTCAATAATATCAATGTGTCTTACCTCAACTACTCGATTAGACAGCCCGACAAAATAATGGAAGTAATTCACAGAAATCCGGGTAATTGATTGAAAAAGAGTTCAATTGAATTTTAGGAAAAACTAAAGAAAAGAATTTATTCAAGAACTTTGTTGTATGGAAACTCTCTCTGAATTTACACAATCATGTCTGGATTATCACCATCGATCCACTCGTCGAACTCAATACAATTTTTAACACGGATAATTCCAGGAATTTTGAACTTTATTTTTATAGCATAAAAATATTCCTCAGTTCCGGATATACTATCCTTAATTTTGACTATGAACAGAACTCAGATTCGCTAATATTCGCCGTGATAATTTCAGATTCGAGCACGTGGAAATTCGTACCGATGAATTAATTCCTGATTCGGAATATAGATGATTTCCGTACAAAATAATTCTCTTCACTCAATAATTTGCTTCGATCGAATTCGTCCGGTCAATTATAGTCAAATTTAATTAGAGCTAGAATGAATTCAAGGGATTATCGCGATTATGATTTTCACTCTATTAATCCACTTCCGGTGGGTTATCACCCAATATGGCGTAATCGAACGCCGATGAAGCAATTAACTCAACTCCGAATAGCTCAAATATTAATTATTCCAAAATTTCCGAGGTTTCACAAAAATTTTCGCGTGAATTATTATCAATTATCGCACTGAGAAAGACACCTGAATAATTGCTCCAATACTCGAAATCCCCACGTACGGAATTACTGCATTCGTACTTACAAAGAAACATGCTTCGCTCGCCTGTTAAAAATCGCAAAATTTTGCCTCATTTCCCTCTCTCTGGATTTATCGCCAATTTCTCCTTGCTGAAGGGAATATCCAGGCCTACTCTCCTATCTGGTAGGAGAAAACTCGCAATGTAATCACTCTCTTTATTAATACTTATTCTAATTGAGTTTATAGTGGTCACCACTGTGTTCCTAACAGGGGTGCCGTACGATCCAAAGTGATGAAAGATGGCTGGAATCGCGTTGTCCAGGTCCGGGTTGTAGCTTGTTCTACTGCTCCAATTGTCCCAGCCAATGGGAGAGCGTCAAAGTGTCACTTCGTATCTCTCCGGGTTAATCAGATATGAAAATGTCAAGGTGATCGGTGGTTTACCTTGACCCTTAGCGCTTTCACGGTCATCTTAATATGCCAGCCACGTCCTCGTCATGGATCCTGGGTAACGCCAAGAGCTGGTAAGGTGTGAAATGTAATTGCCATACCATACACGTGAAGTTATAGAAGTACTTATATTTAAATCAATTTAAAAAATTAATTGCCTTCAGAAGGAAGGTGGCGAAAAAGGGAGGTCACGGTCATCTACCTGGTCATCCATATTATTATATGAGGTGTACCTAAGAGTTTAAATTCACAAACTGGCAACCTAGTCCCAACTTGATAAAAAAAGTGGAGACCCATTGGGAATCATTGGGAATTAATGGCACTGTGATGAAATGTCCTGGGATTTATTGTCCTTGGGTGTTTAGGTATGTAACCGCTTGTTGGTCTGATAGCACATTTGAACGATCGGACAGGATGATCAGGGGAATTGCATGAGCTGCACTTGATGACCATATCGCTGGTCCATGAGTTGGTGTTGTGCTCTTCCTGGCATTTTTGGCATATTTTTTTTTGGGCAATCAGAGGTGGTCTGGGTGAAATGTACACATTTGTGGCACAGGGACAGCTAGAAGAGGGTGGAACTGGGAGAGGCGGGGTAGTGGTTGTTGAAGAGAAAAACTAATTCATTGATTTGTGGAACGATTCATGGGAATCCGATTCATCGGAATTCATTTACAGTATCGGTGGTTGATGTTATTGTCAAGAAGATGTTAATTCATGGTGTTGTCATCGATTTCAAATTCGACAGTGGCAAGTACTACCGCAAAGGTGGCAGGGGGAGAGGCATTAGCCTAAACTATGTTTTGCTGTATTTCTTTTAAATCAATCAATTTACTCCGATTTTGCAGTTGGTTGAGAATGTTGATGAGTTCGAACTTGTTTGCGTTGGACTTGAGGAGATATCCTTGGCTCGTCTGGACGATGACATCTTTGTTATTATTGTAGACTGAATTCGAGAGTCTTGCGAAGTCGACGCGACTAGTGGTGATTGATATAATATAGAGTGGTGAACAGTTTATGCATGATTTCCTGGAAGCGTTTGGAGGAAGTGAAGGATTTTTTATTGTAAAGGGTATTATTGGATGTGGAAGGAGAAGAGTTGTAGACAGTGTTGATTGAGGGGGTGGAGAGGAGAGTGCGGATTGTAAGGTGGTTTGCTCGTCGGTGACCATGTCGCCAGCCAGGCTGGGTAAGGGACTGGACTGTCTGACTTCACCTTTCCCTGTTCTCCTTTTCCTGGGAAGTGACCCAAGGCTGCTTTCGGAATCTCTACCAGTATGGAAAATGAGTTTTCTTCGCCCCTTTCCATCTTTCTTTGTCATAATAATACACTTGGATGCTACACTTGACCAAAATTTGATTTGAGTGTGGGTGTGTTGATACGAATACGATAGATTTGTTGACGCGCCAACGTCTCAAGTGCAACTATACCAAAAAGATTTTTTTATTTCTTTATAAATATTATGTTTGTATTACACTATTTTTGGTGATAGAGGAGGAGGGAAGAGTTTTTCTATATTGCCGAATGTCAATATAACTACGACAATTTATTGGTTGTAGTTTGAAATGATTCAAATTTTTGTCCAAAATATACCACTAACAGAAGACCCCTATTCTCTTCTTATTCCCTCTGATTCATGCAAATTATTCTGAAAATTTCCTGCTTTTCAGAGTTTTTCCCGGTAGTAGGCGAAATAACATTCTCGAGTACGAAAGATTACATTGATTACAAATTATTATAGTGATTACAAATAATTAACACTTGCTTACCAAATCTTCATCACACATATGGTCATCAGTTGATAATAGTGATTACACTGATTTTTCTAGGATTACAAATGATTACATCAGTGAGTAAGACCACGATCACATGTGTGAATAACATCTACGGCGATTTTCGGATCTTCTAATGTAATTCCAAGTTCATTCTCTTCTCTTTTTCACAGACACCAAATTCGATACCGGGACTGAGACCGTCACACCCATTCTCAAACGTTCTGGGACCAATACTAAATCAAGATGAGAAAAGTACATCTCCACAAAGTACACCGAGCAGTGACGAGAGTAATTCTCCCACTGAACTCAACTCGTACAAGAAATTGGGAGACAAGCCTCCTTTGATAAAGCGACTGACTATGGGTCTGACTAGTGGAGTCTTGGGTCTCAACAGTGAGGATGATAGTTGTCCGCTGGTGAGCGGTAGCAGTACACCAATGAGCCCAGCCAATAGGCCACACTCCGGTGGCTACATTAATGAGGCCATAATTGATTCAGAGATGATCAGAACACCATATAATAAGATACCCCTTCCTAAGAGCATCGATAATACTACCAATGCATCGATGACTGCGAAGAATTTGAATATCGAGAATATCAGGTGAATTTACAAATTAATTATCCACAAGTATAATCATCAGAATTCTTCCAAACGTCACACATATTTACTTCGTGGTTGGTACATGGTTTTTTTCGTCTAGCTCTGCCTGAATATCTGAATTTGTACAAATTTATTTAAATTTATATTGGACAAGGAATGATCTTCTTATGAAATTGAAGAAACTGTCATAATTTCTAAGTGCAAGAACAAGTTCCTTCAGAATAGAGTGCCTTGAAATAGAAAATCTTGCGTTCACATCTATACTATCTTTTCATAGGAATGCCAATGACGGTGAAATAATATTGTTGCGTATTTGTTCTTTTCCTCCCTTTCAGCCATCTTTATGTACGATCGTCTCTTTCTAACTCGTTATTCCTTTATCTTTGTTCTTAGTTTGTGGACGTGTCACTCCTTTTTATATTTCTTTTCATTATTGATTTCGCACCGAAATCGTTTAATAAACACTCATTCTTAATTAAATGGCTTGTAAGTAACAATATGAATAAACATCACCGAATTATTCCTTAACTCTTCAGGATCGGTAAAAATTCTCCGGGTTCTGTGAACGAAACAGATTTCAAAACCAAACGGAGATCACAAATAAGTACGTCAAGCAGTTCTGTTCCTGCAGATAACAGTATCCACGAATTAACACCCACACCACCCCCACTTCCAGAAAGAAACGATAGTCTGAATAACCGCAGTGAAGAGTGTGAATTGTGGAAGGCTCCATGGTTCCAGGCTGGCATACCCAGGTTAGTACCTCAATCAAAACTTGCCTTCTCTCATGTCAACCCAAATAATCTCTACCATTTTACCGCTCCTTTCCTTCGTTATTTACATTAACCAAATTCGTATTTAATAGGGAGATAACACTAGAAGTGTTGAGCCAAGAACCAGAAGGTGCCTTTATGGTCCGCGAAAGTACCAGTAAACCAGGCTGCTATGCTCTATCGCTGCGTGTGCCGCGGGAGTTTCAACCAAGTGGAATTGCGCATTATTTAATCATGCGGACGAACAAGGGCTATAAAATTAAGGTAATCGGAGTAAAAGTATGGTTTTATCTTTCCGGCTAGGTCGGGATAATGATATTCACCGAATGATGAAGAAATTTTCAGTTGTAATACCCCGAGTCCTTCAAAATTATGGGATGTTTCCCAATATCTTTGTTGCGTAACTATTAAAAAGTCGCGAAGCACGAAATGCTCTTCCGAATACCCCTCGACCTTCAAAATTGATCAGATATTTTCCTTAAGTTTCTCTGCGTAGCAACGAAAGGGATGATTTTGTCGGAAGAAAATTTCTTTCCTTCTGGGTTCGCCCAATTAGAGTGCAGTGGTCGAGGGCATGTGGCACCTTACACAAACATCTGATAGAAGTTAAAAATAATTATTTAATGTTATCATCGATTTATCGTAAAGAATTCCAGCTAAATCGATTCGTGTTTGATGACTTTCTATCTTGAATCAAATCAATACGACCTCACACAAGATTTTTTAACGGCATTCTGATTGGATGAACCGAAGAGCTGTGCTCTACAGGGGCCGCAGCAGAGGAGTTTTCGAACTATACTCATCAGAACGCTGACAAGGGGTACAAAAATGACTTTTTTTCACTTATCAAACGTGGGAAATGATTTTATCCTTACCAAAGTCGAAAAATCTCATGGGTGAATCTCGCTAGGATTGAAAATCTCAAGAGTCAAACGTCGCAAGTGTAATACTATGCAAGGGTCGTACCTTGCGGGAGTGAAACATCGCAAAGGCCACATGAAGACAAAACAATCGGAAACAGTGTTACGATCGAAGACTTTCGGACTTCCGGAAAAAATCGGAAAAAATCCGATTTGATATCCTTATCGATAAAAAATTTTTGTTGAAAGGATCCGATTATATAGACTTCAAAAAATATCTCGCGTTCAATCGAGAAACTCCTGAGCATTTTCGGAACTCTCCTCAATCAATTACAGTAGACTCCAGATGGTGTAATATACACACGACTGTGGTGGGGGAAATGACTTAGGAGAGCGTGGTTGTATTTCCTCCGATTCCATTAAAAAAAGTAATTGAGGGAAATGCGATGAGAACCATAGGGTTTGCCGTATTATAAATGATAATCTTGGATAATGAAAAAGATTCACGTCATACCAGAACTTTATTGTTTATAATATGACAACTAATGAGAAACACTATGGCGAGACGGCCATAAATATGTGTACGGTTTAATGCATGTGTGAAATGATGGCAAGAAATATTAGGTCATCCCACTTCTAGTGTCATCTTTTTCTTTCCATCTGGCATGGTATTGTCATCTGACGAAAAAAATTGTAACATGATAGTACTGCTCATTCAGTATAGCAGTGTCGTGTGCTTTTCGTTTTAATTACGTTGCAGTATTTACGATGGAAGAATTGAAAAAATCTGTGAGTGTAGTGGAGCAACGAATTTTCCTGAAATTTTGTGCTGAAATTATTCTGGAGTTGCGCATGGGTTATTAGTGAAATGTGTTGGCCGCAATGCAATAAATAAATGAACAATACAATGCTAGCTCAATGCCTATAAACGAGGTCGAACGTCCGCTGAAGATGAAGTACGGGTCCCTCGACCAATATCATCAAATAAATTAGAAGGGAGAGAGAATTGCAGAAGCTCTCTGTCAATCACCTAGAGTGTCAACGATGTTTCCACCCAACTTGGTATTCCTCATTCGAGTGTGCATAGAGTACTAACCGAAGATTAAGGTCTGCTCAATCAATTGGCAACATGGATACCTCACAGTTTAACTGACGATCAAGAAGAATTTCCATATGAAGCTGCACGTAGCAACTTAGCGTGGTATCGTCGTAAGAAAAATATACTTTCTAGGATCCTGTGTGTAGATGAGAGTTGGGTCGAAATTTATACGCCTCTTCAAAAACTAATCACGATCTTGGGTGGGACCAGGTACATCAGCGCCAAGATTACAACGTGCAGAATTGCACTTATTTTTATGCGTTTTTCCCATCTTGTGCCCTTAATCTGGCCTCAAACACTTCATAAATCCTCTGAGACTAATCGGGGATTAATTTAGCACACGAATGGTGCGTTAATTGTTGTCTAAAGTTTCTGGTTGTCAGAGAGGTCATAACGGCGTCACTTCGTGCAACTGAGCCATGGGCCTTTCGCGGGTTTAGTCGGTGATTTTTCACGGGAAAAGTGGCTCACTGGGGTGCTAGACATTCAGAAAGGTCGAGGGTCCTGACGAAGATTTTATGCACTTCTTGGTGCATTTATTCACTCATCCAGGTGAGTCTTGAGGAAGGAGGAATGCATCTCGACTTCACTCATTCCAAGGGTCGGTGCAGTTTCCCTGAGGTTTCACTGAAATACGGAATAGAATGCGCTTCTCTCCCGAAGACAGTGCACATAACATGATAGCAAAACTTACATATTTTCCTCGTGCGGGGCCCGGTGGTGTGTCTCCCGCCAAACCTCTGGAAGCTCGTTGCTATGGTTAACCCGTCTTCGAGGTGCTTCTCTCAGTGGCTTGCGTTGAACTCTTCTGTCTAAACTGGCTGGCGGTTCGCAGCAAGCTGAATGGCGCGACTAGCGCGCCGCCTAGCTGTCGCTGGGGGGTTTCACGCATCGATGCATGTAGACTAGCGCGCGCGACGCTCAATTCAAATGTACGCAAACTAATGTTTTGACGGAATTATGTCTTTAGTCTTGATATTGTTGATTAAATGTTTTTATTATTGTGGGTTTTATCTTCATAAGCGAAACTGTATCATGGATAAATATTAGTCGGAAACCATTATTCTTAACCGGAGAAAACTCGGAAATGGAAAAAAACAGGCAGCTGTTCGCCTTATCTTCACGCGAATGCACTTTTCACCTGAGTGAGTGCACTTTTCATTACTATCACTTTCCCAGGAGTTATTAGAGAATCACTATAACCGAAACCGTAGAAATATAACCGTAGTAACCCATGGCGATCCATGTAGCTGAATGGTTTAGTTTCATCTACATGGCCTTCCAACCATATGAGTGATTCCAATAACCCCACGAAACGCGTAAGCCAAGGAGCGTGAGCATTTTAGCTCAACCTCGGCGATCAGGATCGGGATCAACGAGATCTTACCGGGAGGCTCAGTATCTCGGTCACGAACCACAGTAGATACTCGTCCCACTCAGAATTCGCGTGGATAAAAAAATTAAATAAATAAAACAGTAAATACGAATGACCGTAAATTTACCCTAAACCGTAACCGTAGTTTCCCTAAATCCGATAATAACTTAACGTTAACTGGGAATTTAAATAAATAACTAAATTATTTTGACTAAAAATGACATTTTTTAAATTTTACTCATTTTTACCGTGGATCGACACTCTTAATTATTTCTTCCGTATTTTCATTTGAATGATATTTTTGATGATTTGCGAGATGTGCCTAGATTATGGACAGCCTCAGAATCTTTCTCTGAATTTCACCATGAAAATTCTAATATTTTTCTCTTCATGTAGACAGTTTCTAGGGGACATGAAACTTGAAGGTATTGTGAAATTTCCAAATGCGATTTTCGCGATCGTTACAACTTTCTTCCTTCATATTGAAAAGTTAATAAACACCGAACTTTATAAAACTAAACTAAATATACCATCCAATGAAATGGAATCATTTGAGTCCAATAATCAAGTTTGTTTTTTGAGAAATGGAATTGATAATTCTTCGTTTTCAGGGCTTTACGAAAGAATTCACCACGCTCACCGCATTAATAACACATCATTCAGTGATGCCAGAGTTGCTGCCATGTCCCTTATCCCTCAGTCGTTACAATCCAAGTTTCTTGAAGACTGATTCAACGAAAGACTTTGCAGATATCAACTCTGATCCTGACTATCACACTCTAGCTGATTTTCGCAAAATGATGGCGGATTTGAATGTTTGAAAGCTAAGACAAGTGGTCTGGCAGCCGGTGATAATTATTAAGGAAATTAGAATACATAATTGATGGTAAAAAACGAAACATCGATACTAATTAGAAAGGACTTTGAAATGAAGTAAACGTGTTAGCTGCAGGAAAAAATACTGCCAAGAACGTTTTATTATGACAGTGAAAAGAATCATAACATTGTCATATAGTCCAAGAGGCGCAAAGGGTGCGTATAAGCATAGCTTTTACACCTCTTTGGCTCTACGGCGATGGATAGCATTGAACTTATTGCGTGATTTGGCAGATTTTAAAATGGAGAAATTGATGTAAATGTGTTTATATGTATATAGTTTTTGTTCATTGTTATAGTTGCTTTTTATTTAAACTGAAGAATTAATAATAATACAAACGGCGAACCATACATGAGAAAATATTTTTTTTCTTTATAAAAAAAGAATAATAGATTAAATTTATGGGGTAAGTTGTAAAGTAAATGCCAGTCGAAAACAATTACAGTCATTCGCAAATAACTTTAGAACTAGTAGCTCACTATCATATAAAATTTAGTTACTGCGAAAGAGGTTTTCAGAAATTTTTCACATGCTTTTTGCTCTTGAGAGGGTGGTAAAAGTACCCAAATATGTTTTGAAGCTCTCTCCTGTTTTTACCACTTGGCTACTGACATCAAACTGAGGAAATATTCGATCACTCGACTAAACCTAGTCTTGTACAGAAGTTACGTGAACAGACTTTAGGATAATAACGATGAAACGAAAGATATGATAGAAATTATATACTATGTTACAAATCCTGCTAACCATTATTCGCAGCTTGATTATCATAACATTCTGAGACTGTACACTAGTGATGTATTGTATAATTTCAAAAATAAAATTATTTATTACATTTATTTGCCTCCATAAAATGAATTAATTTATAATATGGAGGAATACCTCAAATGATCGAGAAGTGAAATGAAATATTAATGTAAATGTATTTAATGCAATCTCGAGACAAGTTTGTTTATTCTTTATATTTATTAATTTTTCAAGAATGCTCAATCAGATTTATCTCGAACAACGTGCATTGCTCGTTCAGAAACGAATGGAACTGTGCCAGGACGAGAATGCATACGACGTTTAGCCTCCCTGAAATACAAGTAAAATAATTAAATCAAGCATTCATTTTTAAAAATAAAATTGTTTCATTTTCTGTTGAACCGACGGTACTTACTTTGTTTTACGCTTATTACGAATTGTTCTCAATTCTTCTTGAGCATTGTAAATGTGTTTAGGTACTTGTCTGTGTCGAGCAATTCTCCTTACTTGAGGATGTCCTGCAAACTTTTCCTTCAAAGCTGCATTGTAATTTAAAGCAGCTTTCTCCCTGGGTTTCAACTGCAAAGAATGAATTATCATCAACCCTTCGCCTGATGAAGGGAAGCAAGATATACTAGGGATGCCATGGTGGGGGTTAGAGAAAACAGAATTAGGTATTTGTATTGTCTTGTTTTACCACTTATGATGGAGTTTTCTAGCATGATTTTCATTCGAGTTCCTACTTACAACACCTAATTTGTCGGATGCTCGGGCTTTCCATACTCGAATATTCATCTCGTCACTTCCACTGATGATGTATTTGTCATCAAGAGACCAAGCAATGTTCGTGAGTCTTTGCATTCTTTTTGTATGGTAAATATCTCGAGAATGACCTTTATTAATTTCAAATATCCTTAATGACTTGTCATAACTTCCTGAGACAAATTCTTTCCCAGTTGGGGAGTAATCAACATCGATAACTGCACCCACGTGGTCCATATGAACATTAACTGGAGTTTTTAGTTTTCTCATATCAAACGTGTATAGACTGAAAATATAACATCATATGTTTATAAATAATTGAGTCACATAGGTCATACCCAAGATGCATACCTCCTTCCGTAGAGAAAGAGAGATATTACGACAGATCACGTATGAAAAAATGCTATAGGATTTCCTATAGGAAATCCTATGGAGAATTCGAACATTTCCTATAGGATTTTTCTGATAGGGTTTCCTATCGGATTTCCCACAGGATTTCCTATAGGATTCCTTATAGAATTTCCTATCAGATTTATGATCCTAACCCTTAACCCTAAGCGGGCCATCGTGACAAAAAATAGTATGTGTCATTCGGACGGTAGCTTACTGTCCTTATAACACAATATACTATTGGACAAAGTCAATGAAACTGTAATACTTTACGTCTTATCAATTCACTGCAAAATTAAGAAAAATTCATAAATTCACTGACTTGTAATCTTCATTAGCACAGGTGAAAGTGTAGGCCTCCATAGGATTCCACGCTAATTTATTTGTTCTTAACTTCAGAACGACTTTACGTAATGGTCCAGCATCTCTCGTATCATACAAGATGACACTCCGATCACTCGCACATGCAGCGAGTAAATTTGATTGAACTAAGTTGTATTCAACATGGTGAAGACTGTCCACTCCCCACTTGAAAGTTTTTACGGGTTCATTCCGAGTCTCTTCCCACAACTGGCAGACTTCTCCACACGTTGCGAACTCAGGTTTCATACGGTGATGTGAAATGGCAGTTATGACATTCTAAAGAAAATGTAATTGATGTATTGATACATTACTCATATTATCAACTGAGGTAAATTATCAATCCACTCAATTCAGAGGAAGAAGGGACATAATCGACTTAAAACTTTGAAAAATGTAATCGTCATTCCGACCGTAGAGTAGCGCTTCCTGCTGAGAATCCCTTCCACGTACCAGGGAGGTGAATACCATCACGCTTTAAAATCCATCAGATCAGAAAAAATGACCGTTATGTAGCGGTAACTTCACTTTTTCGCATATCATAATTTCGGCCGTACCACTGCTGTTTCGACTCAATTAGGTAGATGTAAACTGACAGTCGTGAATTTTTCGGTTATAAAATTTTGTCAAATTTGGTAATAATTCGTATGTCCAATTATCCATTTAGATTTGAATACATTGAACGTATGTGTTTAATAACCAATTAAACGTTTTATCGTCATGAAATTGTGGGGCTATCTCCGAATCCTAAGTTATTATATTACCACTACTGTCCAGTTCAGAAGTAAAGGACCGTGAAGTTAAACACGCATAACTTCCGTAAAAGAAATCGTAGAAATATGAAACTAGTTTGAATTGGTGGATTGAGTAGTCATCTCATCCTATGCGGAGCCTCATCTCCTTCAATTTATTAATGTTAATTATACAGAGTGTCCCAAAATGAAATGTCATCCCCGTGAGGGTAGTTCGGGGGGCTCGTCTGGAGATAAAAACTCTAATAACGTTTTTCTCTTCTACGTTTCACTCAAGAGTTATCAATAGTGATGCCGCGAGACAAGACAAGGTAAGAGTGAGCTACTCACTCTAAGAGAATTAGAATTTAGAGAGAAAACATTTCCGCTTCACCCAGCCGGGAATCGAACCAGATACGCGCCGGGCACTCTTACCGACTAAGCTACCGGGAACCACAGAAAGGAGGACTTATGCAGCTCCCATCTGGCACACACGCTACCCCGACTCACACTTCTAAACTACAGCTAACACAAAACAAATTTCTGCGTGTAATCAATAACGCATATCATCACACACCAATTCAGCAAATTTAAGAATTTTTTCTTCACGAGTGTACTTTCAGTTGTAACAATCACTTAAAAAATCAGCATATTTTTGTCATCATTTTTTGAAACTATAAGGATACGGCAAAGTTCATTGATTTTCACGGCCTCTTAAAATCAGGCGTTTTTTTGCGTTTTTACCTTACGGTATAATTAATATTAATGAATGTAAAGAGATGAGTCTCCGTATAGGATGAGATGATTAATCAATTCACCAAGTAAAACTTGTCTCATATTTCTACGATTGTTTTTTTTACCAAAGTTATGCATGTTTAACCTCAGGGTCCTTTACTTCTGGAACGGACAGTACACTGAGAGAAAAGTCAGAGAATTTTTGTGGGGAAAATTTTAGTGCTGCACTAGAATTGAGGCGCAATGTGCCAGCACATGAAAATTTCCCCTTCGGCACTAGAAAAAGCGACGCTTTACGCCCTCGAAATTCACTTTACGCACGACCTTGAACTTGACGCACACCGTGCACAAAAGCAGCCACTTTACCCCCACTACGGTTCCGAACAGTGAACTCGGTAGGTATTACAAAAAATTGGATGTGTTACGCGTGCGTGCGAAAAAGTGGTTCTTTACGCACTTGTAACACAATATACTATTTCAGCTGAAGAATGCTAGAAGGCATTACTTTAGCTATCATTTTCTCCATTATTGATGTTTTTAGAAATATGTCAATCATTACTACCGGGGTTTCGTATAAACTACCCAATTTAAAATTTTCAACGCGGCGTCCTTTCGGGCTAAGTGGGAGTCCTAAAGAATTTCTCAATGGAAATTGCGCAATCTTCTCTAGATTTGACGATGTGCTTTATAAACTGATCTTGTCATCAATCCAATTGATACTTCTATGCTGCTAAATCAATCAATCCTTTTATATTTTTGTTTGTTGGAAAAATCACGTACCCTACTAATGATTGTGTTTATGGGCAAATCCTCCTCGTCTTGTGCAGGTGCATCGGATCTCCACATTTTTATCATTTTATCATCACTGACGGTGATGAAATGGCCAGCATCACTGGCGAATGTAATTCCCCGGACTACTCCATCGTGTGCTAGAATAGAGCGGTTACAAGTTTTTTGGGGTAAATTCCATGTTTTGACTTCTCCGTCGCAAGATCCACTGACTATAATGGAAAGGTTGGCAGGATGTTTGCAGATAACAGAAACTCCGTCTTTATGACCTTCCAAATTTCCAATGAAGGGTTTAGCAAATACTCGATCGAGTTTCACAGCATTTAGTGCTCGAATGTACTCCCGTGCTGCTTCAAATGGATGTAATGATGGATCATAATTCCTTGGAACTGTTGAATAAATAGCGAAAATTAATAAAATTATGTATCCCTGGTATCCACAAAGTTACTATTCCGCAAGCAAGGTCATGGGATATTGTGTTTTCTAATACTCCCTGGTTTTGTTTCTTCAGTAGCGAAAATAACAAAACTTAACATCGGTGATGTTAAGTTTTCGGTAACGTAATCGGCAAGGCCATATGAGTTTTCGCAATAACAGAATATTCAATTGGGGATTGTCATATCATTTTTCCCCCATTACCGTATACCTACCGGTTTTTCTGGATTGACGATGTTCTAATTTTGCCTGGAAATGACATAGAATGTCATGAAACTTGGAGATATGTTGGTTTTAGAAAATGTGTGCATGTATGTCCGGATGTGTGTGCGAATTTTTCGGAAAATTATTACGAGCAGGATTGCGAGCCTATTCGAGAGAACTCATGCGACCGTTAATTCATGCATTATTAGTCTTATTATAGTATCTTAAATTATAGTTCTAAATGGAGTAGGGCAGTTTTAATCAAAAGCAGGGAATCATTCGTAATAAATTCCATATTTTTTCAGTAAAATTTCATTTTTTGAAAGAATATCATGGCAGTAATAGTCTGAAGTTGTGGCGCCACGTGGGATTTCAACCGCCAGATTTAATTTAATTTTCATCGAAGGACAATAATTATTTTGCAGTCGTTCTTCGTCGAACAAATGATTTTTTTTTTTAAATTCGTTTCCGGGAACAATGCGTAGATGACAAAGAAAAAAATTTTATGACTAGTAATAGTTGAAAGAATGACTTATTTCGAGCCATATTCTACTTCAGAACATATAACTATCTACCTGATCGTTATGGTGAAGGAGAGGGCACTTAGGAATCCTGACTTATTTGATAATCAATGAATTTAAGACAGATTGCATTTTCCAATAGTTTTGGAATTGTGAAAGTGTAGGTATTTGATTTTTTTAATGTTGTCGCCTCATATAAAATGTTGAAACAACTTGTGAAGACTTTTTTTTTCACAACAGAGAATTCATATGCAGGTGCAGGCCCACATGGCAACTTCAAAATGGTTTCGAATGAAGCGGAACTCAAGCCTCTACCGACTACCATTCCCGCACTGAGAAAAAAATCCATTTACGTCAAAGCGAAATGCCAGCGTCCCCACTCAAGCGCCCTACTACGCTTTAGTACGTTTTTCACCTTAAAGGGTCAAGAGAAGAATGTATTTTTTTAATAACCTATTTCTCGAATCGAGTCATTTCCAGGCAATACTCATTAAATTTCAATTCTGACAATTATATTGGTCTAGAAGATGATCATGTCAGTTATGGCTTTGAGTGAACTCCCTCAATAATTATTAACATTAAAAAATTAGTCAAAATTCCTGCTTGTGAAATATAACAAATTTAGGAAAAATGAATAATCATTGGAAGAGTTCATCCAAGGTCATGTGGAACATAGTTATACTCTAACAGCAACATGATTGTCATAATTGAAAATAAATCAGGCTAACTTGGAAATGACTCGACTGTAGAAATACGTTTTTGAAAAAATATTTTTTTTTTCTCTTTCATTGGTTTTATCGAAGTAATTGTCAATTTGAAACCCCTCCTCTAGCCTGCCTCCCTCCTTTCTTTTCCTCTCATTGTTATCTGCGGTATCATGGCCGTCGTACTCTTAGCTGTGCCCCATTCGAGCTAGGACTGCACGGGAAACCATGTAAAACCCCAGTCGCACAGCCGGCCGATTGTGCAGTGCCCTAATATATCCATCTGTCACACTGACTAGATGCAGACACTAGGCCGCTACACCGTACCTACCGCCCGCTTTTTTTGTGCGAGCGAGGTGCTCCTAAAGCGGTCACCCATCCAAGTACTAACCCAGCTCAACGCTGCTTAGCTTGGATGTCCGCCGGAGCAACACCTCACTCATCTAACCATTACAGTCGGTTTTTGAAAAAATAAATACTTCTCCCAAGTCAATGGATACTTGGCGAAAATATTTTTTTTTCTTAGTGTGGGAATGTTAGTCGGTAGAGTCTTGAGTTCCACTTCATTTGGAGCCACCTTGATGTTGTTATGTCGGGTCAGCGTCTTCATTAGAATTCCCTGTTGAGGAAAAAATTGTCTCCACTGATTGTTTCAACATGTGAGGCGACAACATTGAAAAAGTCAAATACCCACACTTTTACAATTCAAAACCGATTAGAAAATGCAGTCTGTCTTAAATTCATTGATTATCAGATAAGTCAGGATTCTTAAGTGTCCCCTCTCTCACCGTAACAATCAGGTAGATATTTATATGTACTGAAGTAGAATATAGCTTGAAATAAGTCATTCTTTCAACTATTACTAGTCATAGCATTTTTTTTATTTACTTTAATATTCGTTGCAATTCGGTGGAGTTCAATTTCGAACTCTCGGACATCAGGGTCTTAATCACTGTTCGGGCGCCATTTGTAACGTTGAAATTAAATCACAATTTAAATTGCAATATTTCTGTGATATTCAGGCTTCAATAATTGATCTTGTAAATTTTTCGTTTTGACTATCCGGGCAGTTTTTATTGATATTAATTCAATCCATGGGCGCCATGTGATCTCATCTCACGTTACCTAATTTAAAATAAAATAAATAAAAATAATTACCTTTGCCGCTTCGTGATTTCATTAAATCTAATATTATTTGTGCAAATTCTGTTCTGTTCGGGCATTTAAGAATTTACTAAATTATTCAATTGAACTGATTCCTGTATTTTCGAATTAGAATTTAATTCATAAAGATAATATCAATTCTAGTGATTCGTTTTAAATGAAGTTTGGGTAAAATTCAAATGAAAAGAATGTTACAATTTTAAATAATAATGTTCGCTTTTATTCCAGTGAATGTTGATTGTCTGAGTTTAATGTAAGATCAGTTTGAATGTGATATATCGTGTCCGAGTGAAAGTTATAATATTTTGTAAAAATAATACCTCCGATACTTCCAGAATTTATCAATTTAATTTAAATCAAAATAAGAATTCGGATTCGGGTTTCATTCCCGAGATATTTGTCGATTACGTCTTCGCAAATATTCGCACAATTGATACGTGGTTTGACCCACCGAAAATGGCGTAATTGGTGAAACCAATTACGTAACCCCAAAACTCTAATTTTTCCTCAATTTTCCAGTTAAAAATCCGGGTTTCTCGCTCAACAAATAATTCGCACTATAAATCACTCCAGTAATGTTGTTCACTAATATTCCTGACACTCTGTCACCGGTAATTTTAATACAAGAGTACTTACAGACATGTGCATGGAGTATACAATATTGAAGTTCATTAGTTCTGATTAACTTTTGTGTGAAATTAAAATGTGATAAATTGAATTCATTGTATTTCGAGATCACGTATTGACCCTCAATTGAATATCAATCCATATTATGGATATTTCGTCATAATTTTGAAAATAATGAAAAATTATAACCCTCATTCCACTTTCCTGTCAATTTCACAACTTTCCTTCGTGTGAAATTATATTTGATTATTCTTGTTAAATTGTGTGTTCTCATTGTGAGTGTGGAAGGTAAAATTTGAAGGCTGGGAAAAATAATCCATCGACTGGCGTCAACCATATTTAAAATTTCAATTAAAAATAATTCTATTCTTCATTCTAAATTTTCCCCGAATGTCACAACTAAACTGACCCTTGATACGTAGCAATATTTTGATTTGATTCGACAGATATTATCGTAAGGTATACTTTCCCGTCAAAAAACTTCAATTCGGTCACGTAGTTTGAGATATGAAGGAAAAAAGATTTTTGAGAAATTGCTATATCTCGGAAATTACTGGGCCGATTAAGCTGAACGTGCGCCCACAAATGCTCCAAAGTGATTTATAAATTATTTTATAAAAAATTTATAAAAAATTTCTGAAAAATCGGCATACACATTCCGACATACTTACATACATTTTCGAAAAACATATTTTCACGTTTCGTGGCATTCTACATCATTTCCAAGCAAAATTACGAGATCGTAAAAATCATCGATTACAGGGCTTCCATTTGGAAGCAAAAAGTTGGAAAAATTGCATGCGGCTGTATCTTTGATACAGCTGTAATTGTACGTGGATACGGCCATGGTTTTTCCTTCTTTCTCCAATTTCCTAGAAACTTCTTGCATTCCCTCTAATTTCCTAGAACCCCCTTGAATTCTCTTGAATTTCCTAGAAACTCCTTGCATTCCCTCGAATTTCTTAGAAACGCCTTGAATTCTTTGGAATTTTTTAGAAACTCCTTGAATTCTCTCGAATTTTCTAGAAACTCCCTTAATTTCCTCAAAATTTCTAGAAACTAGTTGAATTTTTTCGAAATTTCAAGAAACTTCTTGAATTACCTCGAAATGTCTAGAATTTTCTAGAATTCCGATAGATGGATCTGCACATAAGAACGGTTTCCCAAAATGACCCCCCATATTGAAACCCTAGATGTATCCACGTCAAAAATTGTTTATTTGTAGTTTACGAGTAAAGCTCGAGGGAAACGGAAATGGAAATATCAAATAAGAATAGTGGAAGGATAATCCTATAATTGAATTTAATTAGTTACAAAATTTTGACATTCACGTAGACGTTAAACATGGGGATTTTCTGCAAGTCGAGTATTCAGAAGATTATGATAATGAATTAGTGCGAGTATGGACCAAAAGAATTGTCAATGCGGTTGATTTAGTTGAGAATAAGAATACAAATTTTCATAAATTTTTCAGTTACGGGGTTTTCGTGTGAGAAAAAAAAATCGGAAAACTAGGGCGCGACCACTCAAGGATTGATAGAAAATCCTTCATTTAAAATTTAAGTTACAATTTTCCGATATTAACATTTTTTAAGGTTAACAAAACCAATATTGAGTAACTTACCTCTATGGATATCTCTTTTAGTCTCTCTGAGATATTCATCAGGATTTCTACTCAATAATTTCACCTTCATTCTTTACAATTTTCGTTGCTGTCCCTTAAAATTGTGGGATATTTTATATTCACTCTTTGTCACGCGTGTTTTATTTACTAATTTTACTCCAGAAATCCATCCAGAAGGGGGATTTCGTTTCTACCATAGACATATAATACCTAGATCTCCATATCCCCTATGCAACACAGATCTGGGGAATTAAGACAGAGAAAGAGAGAGAGAGTCACGGTCCCTACCCTTCTCTGTCTAACAGTCCTGTGAAGAGGTGGCTAGTTAAATGAATATTAGTTTCTGAACTGTAAAAAAGCTGCCCTCAACTATCTCAAATGATTCTCGAATGATTAGAACTTAGTTTTATCCAGAAAATAATTATTTCCCTGTGTTCTAATATGATTTCTACTTCACAGCTTTATCTTACAGTTCAGAAACTAATATTCATTTATGTAATTATTACTCATTCTTTATAGAGTATATATGATTCCTACTTTACTGACAGTGTTACCTACAATACTGTCGAGTGAAAGGAAGGGTAGTGAGAGACATCTAATGCCAGCTGAATTAGCTGAGCGCGAGATGAGAGTGTCATCGAACAGCGGCTAAGGAAGCCACGCGTAAGGTGAATCGCCCCTATATTTTCTGTATTCGCCAGGGCGGCGAGCACACATCGTTAGAGGGGGGTTGAGGCAAATGATTTTTCGAAGAAGGCGCTTGTGTAGTTAGCCAAGAAGAGAGGACCGTGGCGACGGCGGGTGGTGATTCAGTCCTTATTAACTCCATTCGTTTATTACAACAAAAAAGTCACTAAAAATATTTTTCTTAATTTCAATCCGCATCCTGAATTATCACCGACATTGAAGCCACCCTTTCCTTTTCACTTTGTTCGCTTCTTTCAGTTTTTACATCACTGTGCTGCTTTCTCTCTCTCCCTCTCTCTCACGCTCGGCGCGCGTGTGTGTGTGTATATATATATATAAAAACTGTGACTTTGTATCGTGTTTCTCCACTGGTAGAACGGCCCAACGAACTCAATAGTACTACGGTTAGTTATACTCTGTGGAAATAGAAGCAAAAGTCGTGGATGAAACGAAGAAATAAGAGAAAACAACTTTTCACACGGATAGTACTTAGTCACTCTCGTCTCTCCATTTTCTCCCCTCTGTCAACTAATCGTGTATGCATCGGAGTGTAGAGCCACCCGTTTGTATGAATATTTATTTGTGTGTGTAGTGCGTGCGGTGATTCACACTCTTCTGGGGGCGCCGGGCCGTTCCGTTTAGACAGAAGTGAACATCAACCAAAAACATCGAATCGGTTTCTCCAGGCGTTTCCACCACTTACGTTTATTCACTTTAATAACCTGTCACCTGAGTACTTTTTTCTTTCGTAGATCTTGGTTGAAACAACCAGAGATGAAAGAGTTTATCCAAAAATAAAAGAAGGAACGCTTATTCTTCCAAAGGAACATCCAGCACCAACGTTGAATTAGTTCTTCACCTTTATTACGAAACATGTTTAAATGGAGTTGATTCACTTCTCTCATTTCATTTCCATCTGAACTTAATTTTTTGACGTTAAGGGACTTGAAAAATTCTGTATTCTCGGTAATAGTGAAACAATTCAATTACATGTACATTTGTCCCTTGTCCTTACAAGCAGCGTTACTGTGATCCTGAAAAATTGTGATTTTTCATCTTAAATATTATTCAGAACAGTGTTTAGAACATTTAAAAAAAGAGAGTGGGAGAACCTTTGAGTTTTTATAGTAATAAAGGGAAAAGTGACAAGACCGTTTCAACATCAATTGATTAATAGAAAAACCTTCATCTAAAAGTAGAGTAATCAGTTGCAGCCAAGATAATGCTGAGATATCGATATTCTTCATCAATACATTAATAATAACTCTTTGGAATACTGAGAACTGAAACGGAGGATTTTTTAAAATATTGTGTTGTGACACAATCGATTATTGCTCTTTCTGTTACAATTACTCATTGGTAAAATTGTGAAAAAAGAGGAAGTTTCAACAAGGTGCCTACAAGTTAAAGCGACGGCGGCCACAGAGGGACTACATCAGAAGTAGCATAATGTCAGATGAAGAAGACAAACCACCTGCGCCTCCAGTTCGACTCACTTCCAACAGGTAAATTTGCTCTTACTCTCGAGTTATTTCTTTCTTTATAAAGACAACATTCTCCGGAGCATCATCGATCAGGAGAATTCGTGATTGTTTCGCCTCTTGATTCATCTTTGAAACCTTTGGAGATGAAAAATCAGTATTCTATATAATACTTGACTGTTTTAACAATTATGTACCAATTTTATTCAAAATTCCCGTTACCTTCTTTCTTTATGATGTAGAGAGAAAACGTACGTCTGTATACCAAAAATAGATGAACAGCCACTAATTTAGTTGCTGCTAAAAATAATACTTCCCAGTGCAGACACTATAATATTTAGTAATGGGAGAGGTTATAGGTATTTTCCTTAAAAAAACTTGATTTATTATATTGCTCGCGGGAGTCAAATGAATGGAGTTGAGTTTTTATGTATTTAATGCAATCTTATATCGTATTGAGTAACTTTCTTTCATGTTAGACTCAGAATGAAGCTTTCAAATTTTTTGGTGCAGTAAACGCAAACCTATTGCACTTGATGAGATTATTATTTGATGCATTAAAATGACTCTAAATGATTAATTAAATTTACTGGATTTTTACAGAGGTGACTCAGCACCAAATTTGCCTGTGGATATGCGCCCATTACCAAAGGAACCAGACTCGGATGAAAGAAAAAAGAAAATATTAAAAGGGAAGATGAAAGTCAAAGAGAATAAAGATAAGCCTAATATCAGTTATCCAACGAATTTTGAGCACACTGTACACGTTGGTTTCGATGCTGTCACTGGAGAGTTCACGGTATGTTCAATTTACTTATACTTGAATCACATAAGATTGTTTGATTTTGTTAACAATGCACTCGCTTGCTGCTTTGCTGTTGGTATAATAAGAAAGGAGCGGAATATCCAAATACTAGAAAATGATAGTGATGATAATGTGACGTTAAAAACTATTAAGTAGAATTGTAAAACGGTATGAGGAATGATAATTTGTTACAAGAGAAGATTTAAAAAAAAAACCGTAAGGGAATGGATTTTCCGTGTCCCCTGTATGATATGAAAGTTGATTATGATTTTTATAATGATTATAAACACAGAACCACATGGATGAAAATGTATGGAACATTGTGATACAATGATTTCAGCAATTTATCCGACGCTTTTTATACCTATTTATTTGTTTCGGTTTTTCACGTGTAAAACTAACCCGAACACGTATTTCTTTCAAGCTGCCACTGAAAGTAAGTAAAGTTGCATGATCGCAGATAATTTTATTTCTCTGTGTTATACTCATGACGTTCACTTTTGGATTTATTTCACTTCTAGGTTTAATTTAGTTATTGTTACAAATCCGATTTGATTTTGTTGCCGTTCATAATATATAATTCCTTTTATTCATAACGTTTCAATAAGCTTGAAAAGCCTCACATATTACAGTCGCTTACGTAGCTTAGTTCTGAATAACTTGAGCTTTAGTCAACGTCGCTTACAAGAGAGTGAATCAATTAGAATATAAAATGCCTAGTTGAATTGAGCTGAAAAGATATTGAAGTGCGGCCATTAATTCAGGAATGGAGAAGTAAGAAGAGATAAATTAAAAGGTGATGTAGATTATCTCATAAACATCTGATGAAAAAAGGAGCTCTGGAGAATTTGTTAAGAGATCTTTCTGGACAAAATTATGTCGCCTACAAGAATGATCTCTTGATAAATTCTGCTGAACCTATGCGTTTGAAGATTATTACGAATAAGACACGTGCCATTTTGAACTTGTCTTTTTCTACCAGGTCCATCATAGAATTTGGTTTGATTGACAGAAAAAATCATTTAAAAAATGGCATGACCTTTTTTCTGGGTTGCATTAGTTCTTAGTTGATGAGGTTGCATGGTTTTGGTTGGTTTTTCATGCAGATGTAAGATTCTTTAATAGCGCACGCTTCTATTTTTATGAAATCCCTTCTATTGTACTCCCTGATGTCAATCATTCCATTTTGTATTGAGACGTTTGCATTCAATCTCAGGGGATGCCAGAAGCATGGGCGAGACTGCTTATGTCGAGCAATATCAGCAAGCAGGAGCAGAAAAAGAATCCCCAAGCAGTGCTCGATGTTTTGAACTGGTACGACAGCAGCAGTAAGGAAGTAAAGGGATCAAAATATATGACGACTACAAAAATGGTTGGAGTTAGTGGTACGTAATCAATTTTCATACATTCATACCATCGAAAGAAAAGAAACAATCATCAAACGTTCGAATTAAATTAGTCGGTGTATTTCGTAATGAGCTTTTTCCGTGCATTATTTTTAAATTTGCAGGGAGTTGTCAAAGAGTCTAGCCTGATAAGCATGGTAAATCAAATATTCATAAATTAAAAACAGATTTATTTACAAAATTTAGATTATTATATTGATTCCCTGAATTTTCAAGGATAAAAACTGGTTTTCTCCATTGCATTTTTCGCGTATTGAAAGGCTATATAAAACAATTAAGAAATTCGGAAAAATTACAAACATTTGATAATTGAAGAAAAAAAATATTGATTGGATTTTTCAATGCAGAATATTGGAATTATGGGTGCAATTGGAATAATAACTGTGAATCCTTAATTTTATCCTTTACTCTTGTAATATCTTTTAATATAAAGATTCCTTTTATATAAAGGTAAGCATCGAGAATCTCGAATGAGAACTCGAATTGAAAAAAAGTCAAACTTGAACGTGCAGTTCAGCCATGAATGGACGAAACAGAAATAGAGTGGGGTTCGAGCACTTCAACATATTGCCGCGTGGCGGCACTATTATTTATCGAGATACGCGGTAGCGTATCGGCCAAGAAAAGTACTGACCGACTGAGCAAAACATCAGACCGAGCGCACCGCGTATCTATACATGACAGAACTTCCCCCTCCACTACCTCTAAATGATTTACATTCGGTATAATGAAAACGGGACAACAAATCGAGAAAGTGTCGTTAATTACATTATATAAATCGCCTATGAGCTTTTCAACGGTGCAACTATGGTATTTTTTGAATTAACAGTAAAAAATATACGCGCAACGTGTTGATATTCACATTCTCGCGATTCACATTATAAAGTCGGAGAATCAAGTTGTAACGTTGGCAGCGCCGGTCCAACTGAGTCTCCTATCCAACGTTGAAGTGTTGCCACCAGTGTATTTGAATGTGGGTTGTGATGTTGTTATGGAGAACCATGGGAAATGTTCTTCTTCACGTTAAATCACTTATTAGAATGAAACGGAAAATCGACTCGCTGTTCAATTTTGTTTTCTCTCGTCGAAAATTCGAATTGCATCCCGCCATATCTATATTCATATGCGGACCTCGGACATAAAGGTAGTTTATACACTGTTTGTGAGGTCATCGGTTTATGTTTGGAAATGTGACAAAAGTGAGATGTGTCAAAAATATTGTGTGATCAAGTATTAAATGTCCGTGAATAGTTCAATTCGAAAAGAAAATATTTATTTTTCTCCGAGTGTAACAGAAAATGTTTTTATTGCATGCAAAAAAATTCTCGAAATTAAGTGACAGTGAAATGCGAGCAATTTTGTGATTATTTAGGAAAAATTAGTAGGAAACGGTGGGATTAACTGGATATTTTGAACCCTTTTCAAAATGATGATGTCTTATTGAAGTGTTGATGAAATAGATTTTTTTTTTAATTAAATTATAGCGAGCCCCTTTGTAATAAGCTTAGACTGAGCTCAATCAATAAATTTATTCCTTGGTTATAAATATTGAAACAAGAAGTCAGAAGAGTCCATTCCACCCAATGTTTCCCTAATATTGTTAAAAACAAAACAAAACAAAAACAGATGTTTTCAAAAAGAATTCTTTGTGAACGATAGTCCAATGAGGGATAGTCGAATTCTTCGACTATCCCTATAAGGAAATCAATTCATCTGTCCAAGAAATATAATCCACATAGGAATCATCAGAATAAAAATTGAATGAGGAACGAAATCAAGTCAGAAAATTATTAATGGATGATTAAAATTTGAAATTCGGTGGAGACAATAAATCTGGAGTAGAACTGTTTATTTTCCTTCAATTTTTTATTCAAAAAATGTTCTATCTTATGAAAAATGAATGAGTTAAATTGAATTGAAAAGAACAAATTTCACCGGANAATTAACAGTAAAAAATATACGCGCAACGGGTTGATATTCACATTCTCGCGATTCACATTATAAAGTCGGAGAATCAAGTTGTAACGTTGGCAGCGCCGGTCCAACTGAGCCTCATATCCAACGTTGAAGTGTTGCCACCAGTGTATTTGAATGTGGGTTGTGATGTTGTTATGGAGAACCATGGGAAATGTTCTTCTTCACGTTAAATCACTTATTAGAATGAAACGGAAAATCGACTCGCTGTTCAATTTTGTTTTCTCTCGTCGAAAATTCGAATTGCATCCCGCCATATCTATATTCATATGCGGACCTCGGACATAAAGGTAGTTTATACACTGTTTGTGAGGTCATCGGTTTATGTTTGGAAATGTGACAAAAGTGAGATGTGTCAAAAATATTGTGTGATCAAGTATTAAATGTCCGTGAATAGTTCAATTCGAAAAGAAAATATTTATTTTTCTCCGAGTGTAACAGAAAATGTTTTTATTGCATGCAAAAAAATTCTCGAAATTAAGTGACAGTGAAATGCGAGCAATTTTGTGATTATTTAGGAAAAATTAGTAGGAAACGGTGGGATTAACTGGATATTTTGAACCCTTTTCAAAATGATGATGTCTTATTGAAGTGTTGATGAAATAGATTTTTTTTTTAATTAAATTATAGCGAGCCCCTTTGTAATAAGCTTAGACTGAGCTCAATCAATAAATTTATTCCTTGGTTATAAATATTGAAACAAGAAGTCAGAAGAGTCCATTCCACCCAATGTTTCCCTAATATTGTTAAAAACAAAACAAAACAAAAACAGATGTTTTCAAAAAGAATTCTTTGTGAACGATAGTCCAATGAGGGATAGTCGAATTCTTCGACTATCCCTATAAGGAAATCAATTCATCTGTCCAAGAAATATAATCCACATAGGAATCATCAGAATAAAAATTGAATGAGGAACGAAATCAAGTCAGAAAATTATTAATGGATGATTAAAATTTGAAATTCGGTGGAGACAATAAATCTGGAGTAGAACTGTTTATTTTCCTTCAATTTTTTATTCAAAAAATGTTCTATCTTATGAAAAATGAATGAGTTAAATTGAATTGAAAAGAACAAATTTCACCGGATGTAAAAACAGTCTTTGCTTATTTTGAAAAAAATACTGAAATCTGCCTAAAAACACAAAAACGAATGTTTTTGTGAAAAAAACTAGGCCAGGAAAAAGTTCTGTTTGATTCCTACTGGGTAGTCGAAGTTTTTGAAAAATACATAGAAATAAAAAAGAAAGCCAAGTCAGGAATTTTGAATAAATGGTGATAGTGCACAATCAGGTTTCTATAACAAAAATAGTTCTCAATAGAATAAGTATTCTAAAAAAATTCTCCATTCTGAAACTAGACCTGTGCACGCGCTTTCGCGCGCACATACTTANATTAGTAGGAAACGGTGGGATTAACTGGATATTTTGAACCCTTTTCAAAATGATGATGTCTTATTGAAGTGTTGATGAAATAGATTTTTTTTTTAATTAAATTATAGCGAGCCCCTTTGTAATAAGCTTAGACTGAGCTCAATCAATAAATTTATTCCTTGGTTATAAATATTGAAACAAGAAGTCAGAAGAGTCCATTCCACCCAATGTTTCCCTAATATTGTTAAAAACAAAACAAAACAAAAACAGATGTTTTCAAAAAGAATTCTTTGTGAACGATAGTCCAATGAGGGATAGTCGAATTCTTCGACTATCCCTATAAGGAAATCAATTCATCTGTCCAAGAAATATAATCCACATAGGAATCATCAGAATAAAAATTGAATGAGGAACGAAATCAAGTCAGAAAATTATTAATGGATGATTAAAATTTGAAATTCGGTGGAGACAATAAATCTGGAGTAGAACTGTTTATTTTCCTTCAATTTTTTATTCAAAAAATGTTCTATCTTATGAAAAATGAATGAGTTAAATTGAATTGAAAAGAACAAATTTCACCGGATGTAAAAACAGTCTTTGCTTATTTTGAAAAAAATACTGAAATCTGCCTAAAAACACAAAAACGAATGTTTTTGTGAAAAAAACTAGGCCAGGAAAAAGTTCTGTTTGATTCCTACTGGGTAGTCGAAGTTTTTGAAAAATACATAGAAATAAAAAAGAAAGCCAAGTCAGGAATTTTGAATAAATGGTGATAGTGCACAATCAGGTTTCTATAACAAAAATAGTTCTCAATAGAATAAGTATTCTAAAAAAATTCTCCATTCTGAAACTAGACCTGTGCACGCGCTTTCGCGCGCACATACTTATTCGTTGAGAAAATGAAGAAATCGAATTTATTAAACTTCATATACTCATAGATTTATAAATATTATATATCTGGATTGAAGTCTGGAAGTGTCTTCATCATATCCTTGTAAGAATTCTGAATCGAGTAAAAATAGAATCAAAGCCAAAGAAAAAATTTTGTGAAATTTGACAAATTTTGGTTCAGTAACAAAAGTCGCTTGGAAAAAGTATAGGAAAATCATAAATGAAAACTAAAGGATATTTGTATGTACGAAGCTTTTTTTCGTCAATTTGATAATGCTTAAGGTAACCAAAATACACGTAAAGTTTCCAGTTTAAAGAATTTTTATCTAGATTATTAACCTGACTTCTGTTGGAATGCTGGAGTCACTAATCTCTATTTCTATAGTATGATTAATTCAAATACTTTTATGACTTGATAGCTTAATCTATTTCATTTGAAACAGCCCCTTTAGACAGGGCAAGCAGTCCACGTAGTATGGGGACGAGCATAAACATTGGAATGGGAAATCTTCGCGGACAAGCGATGTCACAAGCCTCTGGCAGTTCGCATTCGCAACAGTCATTGAGTCGGTAAGTCAACATTATGTTTTCAATCATTGAATTGGTAGGTTTAAGAGTGCAAATTTCTAGAGGGCTTTCTAAAGAGAGGTTCGTTTGAGTATTTGCATTACTCCGTTGTGAGTTTTTCAGCTTAGTTTTGAGCTTTTCGCGGCTATAATTATTGATGCCGCGTTTGTTTTCAGCGTTGCGCCGACGTTTCGCAAACAGTGCAGTTTGCATCGTCAGGGCTATGAGCTTCGATGTTTGGGGGTAGTTCTTATGTACCTCTCCTGTGATGGAGGGGGGTGTGAAGAGGAGGGGGGGATTAGCCAATCATTTTTAATTGATCAGCGCGTCCATTAAAAAGAATAATTATTAGTTCAGTGAAGTACAAATGTCAGTGTTGGCAAAAATACACACTGTTGCTCCCTAGAAAATTCCTACTGAGGAAATCATCAGTTGGATCCAGATATCGATCTACTATCTTCCTCACGAGACCAGCAATGAGATCCGGAAGCAATTGTCCAACATCCTTCACAAGGCTACTCCCCCCCCCTCTTTCCCTAGTGGTAATATCACCCGGGAGGACCGTCTTGCATCGCGTACCCTAAAGGAGAATAATAATACCATTATTCTGAGAACAAGACAACAAGACAAAGGCAATGCCACGGTGGTTATGAATAAGGACGACTACTCAAGAAAGCTCAGTGCGATAGTGGATGACGCCAGAGTTTATACTACACTCATTGAGTGAAAAACTGCTGATCTCCTGAAGAAGGCTGGTCTCTCGGCCGATCTGACCAAACTACTCACTCCTAAACAATCCTTTCCCTCCAGACTCCATGGAATCCCCACAATCGATAAAGAGTTGGTTCCTCTTCGTCCCATTGTCAGCCACATTGGAGTGCCAACTTACCAACTGTTTATATATCCAGAACTCACTGAACTTCGTCAATAAACTGAGAAATCTCAGGACTTCTCCAGATGATATCCTAGTGAGTTTTGATGTAGAATCACTCTTCACAAATGGCCCAATCCCAAAAACTTTAGAAATTATCAGGAAAACCAAGAATATCTCTCCCCAATTCTTGCCCTTGATTGAGCATTGCTTGACGTCTACATATTTCTACCTTGAAGGAGAGTAGTATGAACGAAAATCAGGAGCAGCAATGGGTTCTCCCATCTCTTCGATTATTACAAATATATTCATGGAACACTTTGAGAACGAAGTATTGAAGTCAGCACCTCTGAAATCTACTGTGTGGTTCAAGTATATGGATGGTACCTTTGTTATCTAGTCACATGGGAAGACTGGTCTAAACCAATTCTTTCTCTCAATCCTGAATTTTTCTGAATTCTCAGCATACGAGCATCAAGTCCATCATGGAAATTGAACAATACGGATGTCTCCCATTTCTAGATGTCCTGGTTCGAGGCAAAGAGAATGACACTTTAGGCCATGATGTGCATCGCAAGCCACATTATACAGATCGATATCTCAATACTACCTCCCATTACCGCCCCCCCCCCCCCCCC